CAATATAGGAAGAGATATCATTGAAATATGATATTACAAATGCAAGTATAAAGGGAACAAGATTATTGAATTGAGAAATACTTAGACCTACTTTAGTGATATGATTTGATATTCAGCAATTTAATCAACTTTATAGAAAAATAAAGAAAAAAACATCGTAAATAAGATATGAGGAAACATTCATTTTGCTAAAGAACTGTTGATAGATGGAACAGTTTTCCCAAGGCGGTCATACAGGCTACAACAATTGAAGACTTTGCAATTAGTTTGGACAATCATTGGAAACATCTTGAACTGAAATTGAATCACCTTGCTAGCTACAAATCTAACAAACGGGAGTGATTTTTTAATTAAAATTGTGATATAATATGACATCGACATCAAGGCAAGTAATTGCCTGCGTCGATCATCTATCCTATTAAATCCTATATACATTGCTGTAATATCTTCAGTATACTTAAAGAGTAAACAATATATAACACGATCAGTTAATGCACTAACAGCAAACAGATTCATTATATCTACCTAGTATACTGGCATATCGCGATCGATACATTATATCTACCTAGTATACTAGCATATCGATACATTATGTCTACCTAGTATACTGGCATCTCGATACATTATATCTACCTAGTATACTAGCATCTCGATACATTATATCTACCTAGTATACTGGCATATCGCGATCGATACATTATATCTACCTAGTATACTGGCATCTCGATACAGTCATTTCAGCGGTAAAGATCTTTAACTCCTGATATTGTCATTTAAGTTTCTGATATTGTGTGTTTGTTTCGACTTCCAGTTAGAGTTTTGTCCTTGTGTGCTTATGATTTTGTATTCATTGTATACTGCCTCTTACTTATGTATTTCCAAAAAACTTATACTAAAAGAAATTGGAGATAAAGGAACGATCAACATTGTAATACCACTAAGTAGCTGGCACGTGATTAATCAAACACAACACCCAGTATCTGATTAGAGCTCATGACGTTTTCTTCGATGTTTGTTTTCTTAGTTTGATGACGCTGAAGTATTGTTGTCCTTTTGAGTTGTTGGCGTTGTCTACGCATGCGCAGTCCTTGTGTGATGGTGATGACGCTGTGGTGTTACTTGGTTTCGTGTATTGACGGCTATTTTGGTGTTGCTTTCGCTGTACTGTATTTCATTCTATGGTGTTGTCTATGTGATATATCCTATCCTTGTGTGATGACGCCTTTGTATATTTTATTCTTGTGTGTTGCAGATATGTGTGTGTGTGTGTGTGTGTGTGTGTGTGAATGGGGGGAGTTATACGTGTGTGACCTGTACTTGTACATGGTACTGGTATTACACTAACTTGGTTATCAAATTAATATACTCCTTTTGAAATGAAGTGTAAAGAAAGATTCTAAAGCCTGAATGGTATACAATGTAATGATGGTATAATAAGGGCCAGGGATAACAGTGGCTATCATTATACAGAACTGTGTTGAGTTCAATACAAGTATTTGACGATGAAATTAAAGATATATGAATCATCTGAAAAAAGAACTGTCTTAAAGAAATGTGACAGAAAGAAATTGAAATACTAGTGTGCTATAGAATCATTTAAAATAGTTCAATCTAACGACTTCTAATTACTATTAGCGGGATGATTACGCTTTCCCTCTTTAATTGATATTAACATTCATGCTTCCCAAACCTTTTGTGTTTACATATCGTAGTCATTCAGTATTCCAGAGCTTGTTCCAAATATCATGACTTCCGGGATAGATATCGACTGCAAGCTTACGATACAGAGTTTACAAAGATGCAAGTTGATGCTGTTTCTGATCTATCATATTTGTCTGCTAGAAGCGAGATATGTTTGATGAAGGTGACAGAGTACATACCGTACGTTTCATCGAAACGGCATATATAAATACTGATCGGTTGTGCTATATGATTCTTTTTACAATTTGCAGCAATATGTGTATTATCTAATCGAAAATTCACTTTTTTTATAGCACAAACTATTACGTTATCTTTGTAATAATAAGTTAGTTTTAAGTTTATGACCTAGTCATGAATGTACTTTTTTGAACACTCGTATTTATAAATATCTGTATATTATAATATTGTAACATTTTTTGTTTTGTCGACCCCACGGGAGAAGAACGTTGGACTCAATGGATCATCGACATTTAAATAAAGGTATCCTTATAATATTATTTGCCATTGGTTCTTGCCAATTTGATATATGTTCTCATTGTGCGTAGTATCATGGTTTTCTATTTGACCGTTTTCATTGTTTTCACTAATTTACAAAGAGTTATCATTGTCAGTAAACATTAAGATCTAACAATTTCAGCATTTTTGTAAATCAACCGATTTTCTACTTGATCTGTTATATTGTGTGATTAATAGAATCTTCTCCTACCTTGAGGGTGTGACAGAGAAACCTTCAACCCGAGGGGTGATGTTTTTTGGTTGTCTAACCCTCGGCAGAGCCTCGGGTAAGACAACTAAAGAAATCAACCCGAGGGTTGGAGATTTCTCTGTTACACCCTCAAGGTAGGGGATGGCTATTTTTCTCCCATCCTATTATTTCATATGTGGGGTATGCATATCGTCATTCACTTTTGATGACGTCACAATTACCGATGACGCATTTTAATGACGTCACAATCGAACACGTGCTAATCGGCACGAGGCTATCTCCCACAAGGGGGTGACAAGCTAATCTTTCCCGGCTAAAATGGGAGACACACCTGTGAAGGAGAAATACATAATCAGACACACATATATTTGATCGTTGTGTTATCCTTTTATGTTCAACAGTGTTCTGAAAGGTGAAGGTCGAAACGCCATCTTATCATCAAGTGTATCCATTTTCCAAAACCTTATCCAAATGGCTATATATATCAGAACTCTGGAATCATATTTAACAAAACTATACACCCGAGAAAGACCTTTGTTGTAAGCGAATTCATGTGTAAGCTAATTAATATCAGAATCATGACGCGGTTTTAGACTTAAGACTTAATTTAAGATGATGAAAATATCCTGAATGCTTTTTAAAACCACAGAACAACGAACTCAAAAGACATTATTACAATGTACCATATCTTCAGGCGCATACCAATACATATATGTTTATTATGTAGAGTATTGGTGACGGCCTAACATGTCCTTAACTAACACCGAGTCTGTACTTGCAATTTTCACTAAAACCTAAATTTTGAATTCTCCCTGACCTGTTTTTTTGAAAAATGGTGGTCTCTTGAAAGTGATGAGTTCGTTTGGTTTGGCTAATTTGGCTTGTATAATTTTTGACAAGAGGCCCAGAGGGCATGTATCGCTCACCTGGATATCTAAGAAACCTTTGCAAAATATTCTCCAAATGAGATCCAAGGGAATATGCCAGACCCCAATTCCAATCCTTGTAGCATATATGTATTAGATTATTCATGCCCAGCAATTTTGTGTATGGTTATGGGTTGGTGATCTCAACTGTTTATAAGCTGTGACTCAGAAACTATGTCCCTATGGTTGTGGCCAGACCCCAGGATCAATTATAATATCACGACTGCATTCGTCTCTTTTTGCCCAGCATTTGCATTTATAGTTTTGCGGTGGGGATCTCAACTGTTTCAAAGTTATGACCCAGGCGTTAAATCTGCAAGAGTGGGGCAGACCCTGGGGTCAATTTCAATATCATGACTGCATTCGTCTTTTTAGGCCCAACAATTGTATATATTGTTTTGTGGTGGGGATCTTAACTATTTTGAGGTTATGGCCCAGGGGTTAAGTTCCCAAGGGTGGGGCAAGCCCTAAGGCCATACTGGAAGCATATGTGCATTCATCTGTTTATACTCAGCAATTGTATGGATGGTTATATGATCTCGACTGTTTTCAAGCTGTGACTAATAATCTAGGTCCCTAGGGGTTCGGTCAGACCCCAGGGTCTATTCTGATATCATGACTGCATTCGTCTCTTTATGACCATCATTTGTATACATAGTTTTGGGGTGGGGACCGTTATTAAGTTATGACACAGGGACTATGTATCCAAGAGTGGGGCAAGACCCTAGGGCCATTCAGGAAGCAAATATGCATTCTTCTCTTCATACTCAAACATTGTATATATGGTTATACGGTAGGGGTCTCAACCATTTTTTGGCCCCACCCCTTATAGCCCGGGGGACAGCTCCACCATTTGCACAACTGAATCCCTGCCTCCCATGAATGCTTCCAACCAAGTATGATCGATATCGATGGCATAGTTCTACAGAAGAAGTCGTTGATAGCAATATAGCCAAATTGACCCCTTTTGGCCACACCTTTCAGCCCCCTGGGGGTCAGCCCAACCATTTGTACAATTTTGAATCACCACCACCTAGAGATGCTTCCAGTCAAGTATGGTTGATATGCAGTGCATAGTTCTACAGACGAAAACGCGTAAAGCAATATAGCCAAATAACCCTTTTTGATGCCCCCCTCAGCCCCCTGGGGGTCAGCCACACAATTTGTACAATTTTGAATCCCTGCATCCCATGAATGCTTTTGATAAAATATGATTGATATCCAGTGCATAGTTCTATAGAAGAAGTAGTTTGTAGCAATATAGCTAAATTGCCCCTAAATGGCCCCGCCCCTCAGCTTCAAGTCAAATATGGTTGATATCCATCACTAAGTTCCAGAGAAGAAGTCGCTTCAAGCAATATTGCTAAATTGCCCCCTTTTGGCCCCGCCCCTCAGCTACTGCGGGGGTCAGCCCAACTATTTGTACAATTTTTAATAACCCCACCACCTTGGGATGCTTCTAGTCAAAAGTTTAATTACAATCAGAGGTTAAGAAGAAGTCGTTTAAAGAAATTGTTGACGGACGGACGCCGAACGCCACGGTATGGCATAAGCTCACCTTGGTCCTTCGGACCAGGTGAGCTAATAACTTGTTGTCCGATCCTTTTGAATCATTCGATCATTAAAATAAAAAACTAACAAAAGGGAATAAACAAAGACATGAGTATTTTAGAACGTTTTATTTATTGAAGAATGATAGAAGATGAGACAAAAAGGTCTGAATTTCTCTCTGACTTCACATTCAAGCGGATAATAACTTTGTTTTATTTACATATAAAAATAATAACATTTTTGTTGTGTTTAATATCTATGTACATAATCACAGAATTTCCATAGCCTGTGGTAGCAAACCATAGAACACAATCGTGTTCTCGAAACTACGTCAAAGTTTGATATCTATATCAAACATTCTACTGAACAGTTTTAAAGAACATAGGCACAATTTCAATGTTGAGGAAGTGATGAAATATAATCTACATTTCTTTACATATCAATATTGGCTTTATGAAAAAATGTCCATAAACAAAACAAAATAATATTTGATTCCGAGGTTCAATTGTGAATAAATTTATTTATTGAAAGGAAAGAAGTTCTTAAAAAAAACCCACTACATGTTTAGGGTAACTATTGAAAATCAAACTGCCTGATTCTCTGTATCAACTTATGTTTATAACTAGGTTGAGATAGTCAGCTTCTGCATCCATCTCCAATGTAATCTATTGATATATTGTTTTGGTTCTTTACAACTACCAGACGAAAAGAAAATTTTAAAGGGTTTTAAGTTTGGAAAATCCTAGAAAAAAATGCCATGATGGATAAAGAGTGATACTACTTATAAAACAATCATATATCTTCTTTAAACTGGTATGGAGGATAATACACCATACGATGACTTATGTTGTTAAAATACATGTATAATTTTAGACAAATTTTTATTTGAAAACAAAGTTTAAATGAATCCATGCATCAACATAAAAAGGTAGTTTACTATGACAAATAGTAGCTGTAACAGAACCTGTGATTTATACAGCTTGTTCATACTCCTAGTAAAATTTCAACACTATTATTTGATATATCACAACACAAGAAGAATAGAGATAAATGAAATATATAGGGACAAGTAGGAGTCATTAAACTAAAGATAAATGTGATTTTTTGAAAAGTTTTATAAGATTAATTTTAATTTTAATATGGATTTTTGCCTTCTTGTATAAAGTTGGATTACATTAATCGCAAAATCAGATTAAGTGAATGACAGCAAGCTTTCTAAATGTCATTTACATCAAGAAGATTCAAATTTAAATCTTCATTGATTCTCCTTGAACACCATCATATTAACAAATAAAAAAACAAACAAAACTTGTAAGTCTGACTTTAAATATATCATACCGATTTTTTCTGATACAACTATAACTTAAATGATATGATTGACTCCTTGCTAAAATTCTAATGATATTAAGTGTGGTAACGTGCATGCATTTAAATTAATTAATTATGGTTATATCAGTAAACATCACTTTTTCAAAGTTTAAAATATCATTTTTCGAAATATGACAACATTTGCATCAAGTCCTATCATTATTGTTTGTTTTTTAAAATATATCTTGAGCGTGTTCTCTTTGAGCATACGAATGATATTATAATTAATTGTAGATACTATAGTATATTCTCAGATGCTTTTCTATATATTCCAATATTCAGTTGTAAATAGCATTTTGGCATCGCAGGGCCCATACATACCATAGATGCACAGACGAGGCGCCATAGGACTGGGAGTTGTTTTTATAGTAGGCAATAAATTGTATTTTCTTCATAAATATATATATTTAAGTAGTTGAGCTATTCTTGATTATCAACGTCATCCAATCTGGCAATAGTTAAAAACTATAGCCCAATCAAAGACAAATATTGACTTCACGGGATTTTTTGGTTTGATTGTTAAGGCCTAATTGACCCTCGACACAGAAGTCATTTTTTGCCTAAAGCGTCTCGTGCGTTATGTTACGTCATCGTGATGAAAATGGATACAAGTGTTTTGAGGACGTTAGTTACAAAGCGGTAGAGTTGACTACGTCCTTTCACTGTTTGCATTTAAAAGTTTGCAAACCATTTTGTCATACGTTGGGAAAACAAAATTATGTTAAGATTGCAAATTTTTTGGTTACGGGAACGTCATCAACACTTGATCTTCAAGAATATGGACTCGATGAATGCTTCAGACCGTGTCATTAAATTTCATGCTAGGCGTCAAGCAATACTTCTTTTCGTTGGTCTTAATACCAAGAAGGAAATCTCTCAGACGACTGCCTGCACAAACATGAATTAATTGTTCAATGTAATCCTAATTGTATATATAAATCAATGCGTTAAATGATACCGTTGCAACTTCGGCAATAAAAACGATTTCATACCATCCGAAACTATAAGTTCTTTTTTAAGTGTTCATTTAGCACTTATTTAGGAACTGAGCCCTGTTCTGTAAAATCCTTAGATCCGAGTGCCTTAATTTGTATATCTATAAGATCTATAGATATTATGATTGTATTTAGATTAATTGTATTTTTGTTTTAAAAATCAATAAATCATTGAATATTAATCGTTTCAAGAGCTGATTGTATGATGATACTTATCTAGTATTTGGGTTGGGGCTTCCTAAGTTGTCTCTAGCTATATATCACAGATTTTCACGCCTCGCTAGACTAGACTATCAATTTACTGCCACAAAGAATAAATTCATAACATTGTAATGTTTTGTCTTAAAAAGCATGACAAAATACATTGATATTACAGATTTTCTAAAAATATTATCAATGATTTGCTGTGTAGTAATACTTATTCAGGTTAATATGCAACAGGCATAGCGACATTCAACCATCCTTTGCTATAAACCTGGACATCATTTCGCGGGTACACTTTTTAAACACTCATATTTTCTAAGCGGGTATGGCATTATAACTATATAATCATTATAGAGCACTTAACGTTCATTTCACAGCAATGTTTGAAGTTAAGTATTGAATTGTCCGGATAGATGTTTAGTCCACTTATTGCGGATGTTCATATCACATGATCTGTAACGTCATAACAGACCAGATTGCCGCGCACTGTGTCTTGTACCTCACATAAACATTAATTGATATGCTGCAAGCGTATCCGGATTTGTTTTCATCTAAAATTTGTATCATAGAAATTATCCCAATCGAGTTTGTTGTTTCTTAAATGTTCCTACCAGCGATTCGCGATGAATGTTTCCGGAATTAACTGATGGATACTGCTAGTACATGCATCTCATTGTGAAATCAACTGTATGATCCCTGAAGTAAGCTTGTTATTCCTTTTTTTATTCGCTAGCGCTGGCTTTGATGTTGCAATTTTGAATTATCCGAAGTTGAAATATTTACATCTTGAGCTTTTGCATTTCCTCCTTTGACGGCTCTGGAATTAAAAACAATAAAAATAGCTATAATTGGGACGCATGTCAGTTAATTTTACTACTCAAGCCGTCTGTAGATATGTTACAACTTCGACAGAAAAAAAAGTTCAGAAGTTTGAACATCAACAATAAACATTCCCCTACAGACCATGGTTGTTAGCTTTTTTGAAGCTTATAACTGTTTGAGATAGCTGTCCAATAATCATTTATAAAAAGAAAAGAAATTGTAAAAGGAAAGTCATTCAGAGGGTTCAACAAAGACTTAGGTTGTAAGATGCTTGATTTGAAATTTATTTCTATCTCTAACATGTTTTCAAGTTGTTTTTTAAGATATGACCAAACATTAATTAATGGGTTACATTTGATTTTTAATCTATTGATAGTTATATTCAATCATTACTTTAAACACATTAAGCAAACGTGTCTTTAATATATGGAAAACAACTCAAAATCAGAATATAATTACACATCTGCACTGACCTGGTCGTTCTACAGATTCGTTTTTCTGTCCGCTGTTTTCATCTGACTGTTGTGACGTCGTGTCATCTTTCGCAGAACTCTTCTTTGCCGGTAGTGATTCAACAGCTAGCTGCGGCTCATCTGCGCTGCCAATCATGCCAGGAATCTCGTTGACGATTGGCTGAGGAATGGATGGGAGAAACTGAGTTCCCAGCATATCTTCGTACTCCATGGGTATTTCCTGTCTAGGTTGAAGTCCCTGGAGAACCTCGTCAGCAACAAGGTCAGCTATAGAAAGAAAGTCAAAGGTTATTGCTATATACAAAAATACAGTTCTATGGTGTGATCATCAACAAAAAAGACAAAATCTGTCGGAGGTGAAGGCCTTGGAGAATCCTGTAAGTTACAACTTAGTTTTGGCAAGGCCATGTTCTTCTTTTTCATAAATACGCAAACTATGAACGTAATAAACATACTGAAGCTATGTAACAGCTTCTACAATAGCATTCAAATCAAATGTGGGTTTCAAACTCCATTAGCGTACATGTCGACTTCCAATAACACACACAAACATATTAAAATATTTCTGGCAATGAAGACGCTTAATCAAAACCGCATTCCTTTACATAAGGAACATGTACATACCTATGCAGTTATCATGGTAAACATTGCGATGTCATAGTTAAAAAACAATGGCGATTTGGACACATAATATATGTATATGCATGTATAGGATCTAACAGCTATCTCGAGTCAGTATGTACGGAACCAAGTCATACTTCAGTTTCCTCCACTTAATTTGTTTTAGGAGTTTCATGTTCCTGAATCACGGCTTGGCCATATTTCGAACATTGGCCATTTTTCTCAGTTTGTAAGAGCAGTAGGTGTTTCTATACTTACTAAGGATCTGTCGGACCTGTCTGAAATCATCGGGATCCTGGTCTTTTGACACTACAGACATGATGTTGTTGAGCATTGCCCCAGCCTTCTGGTCACCTGTATGATAAGGAGGAAAGTTGTTCTGTATCCTCAATACACAAGTAAAATGGGATCGGGTGGAGTTCTATGCTTGGTGCAATTGGCATGGTATTTCATTTAGACAGCATCAGATACGCGTTATCGCAAAGAGGCATTTATATCAACATACATATGTACCCTGTCCACGTCATTAAATGACCTTAAATATTGATAGGACATTAAACAACATAGTACCAAACCGAACAAACTTCGAAATCAATGGAAATGCAGGATACACCAAACCGCAAGAAAACAATCGCACAAAACAAGTCATGAAATAAGACCATGTTTTACTACATAGCGCGTGCAGTTCAGATTTATTTGTAAAGTCATGAATGCGCGAATTAAACAAAATATTGAATAAGAAAATTAAAGTGAAATATATAAAATTGAAATGTCCATATATGAATGTCGAATATAATGGAATGTCACAATGCGCAGCAGTTTGATGAAATAGCTTTAACTGTTGGTCAATCAGGTAGTGGTCATGAAAAACAAATGTGTAAGAAATACAGAATATATTACGTTCTGATTTTGAAATTTTGAAATTACTATGATGATGGCGTTTATGCATCCTCCTTCTATTTCAACAGTAGTTTAGATTATTTAGATTGCCACCTTTTGGTCCCTAGCATCACTGATGAGTCCTAGAAGATTTTCCATATTGCAAATGTGCAATCACGTCTGTGTGTGAGTGAAGGTGTGTGTTACATTTATCTTTAAATGTAGATAGAATTGATATATAATGAATCTTATCTTCGAACAATCATCATCAACCACTTATACATAATTCAGGCTATGCGCTTTAATATTTTGTAAAACGAATATGATCGAAAATATACATTAGCTTGTCTTTTGACTAATCAAACGTCTAAAAGCAAATTCCAGGGATTAATTTGATCCAACGTGTATTGTTAATCTGTTTTCGTTAACAGCGCTGATGTTTTAACGATTTTCCAGGTCAAATGTTACCGCAAATTAAACACGGCAGGCGGCATTTTTAATCAACTCACGCTTCAGAAAATGCACGAAATCTTAAATCTGTACAAAGTTAGGTCGTTACCTGTGAGAACGGCACGTGATAACCACTCGTCCATTAAATCTTCGATGAGTGTATTAAGTGTTTCTTTTTCAGCAATGACATCAGGGATGGTAGCCTCGTTCTGGAGTTCTTCCATATCGAGGCTCGGAATTCGGCTTTCGTCATTGAACATATTGTAAAAGCTGGCGGGTAAAGAGTCGTATGACGAAGGCATGTCTTCAACTGTTTCTGGGAAAAATGACTGAAAAACAAAAACGTAAAAATACTATAGAGACATTGGCAATGACCGAACTCGAAATAAAAACAAGAACATAAGAGTAACCAAATATGCACCAAGACAAAAGCAACATGTATAAAACAATAGGGAGGTCATACAAAGAATAACCAATAATTACATTTATCTGACGTCAAAGACAGCACTGATCTGTGTATACAAGTGCGCGTAGCCCACGAGAGGGGTTGTATATCCATTCAATTAAAGAGTGTTTTTTGAGACGTCGAATATGACATATTCGATGTAATGCATTTTTGCATACTGACAGTTGTTTTTAACACGTAAAGCATATTTCAGCATACCATTACTCGTTACCAACTATTCTGAACACTCGATTAATTTTCTCAGAAAATTAGAACCGAACAGTAACGGTGGCAAACAATATGTCAAACGTGGAATAATGATGTCATGCAATCATGTATGGAGAAAATGGAGCTAAAATGCATGTTCAGATCTGGCGATTTGATCGGTAAACAGTCCATTGATAATACTCAAAATTCAAATTGGCTACGAGCGTAATATTTCCTCCTAGTGTAGTGCATGGGGAAATTGGAACCTCGTTACATATTGTATGAAACCTAATTATATTTCCAATTACAAGGAATAAATGAATTCAATCAATACAAACCACATTATGTTTCATCATACGTAATATAGTATTATTTTCATTGATGTAAGTGAAGAGAATGCTTGTAATTTTATGTGTAAATTCCACAAACATAATTGCCAAAATATGGAGAGGTCGGAGACGGTTCCTAATACGGTTTCAGAATGTACGCATACTTTCTTTTTAACCTTGGTTATGAAGCGTAAATCATTCACAAAGCAGAATCAGAGCAAGCGGATTTGTTGATAGAACTCCAGAGAGAGCAGACGTCATTCATCATAAGGAGGAGATAACATGAACACTACTTTGATAATACCAAAGTAAATATTTGTTTCGTGATTAAACCGACGACCGAGGTAACGCGGGATAGTTGACGGATCGTGATTTGCTGCACGTGGACAAGTTTATAATTGAGCTGACAGTGTGTCATTGCTCGTTTGTTTGTTTGTGGAGTATGAACGTTCTTCGCAAGATATATATATTAGCCTTTTGCGCTTTTTTAGACAGGCGATACATAAATATGTAGCAGATTCACTAATTCTGAGAACACTCCGAATAAATTGCTCAGAAAAAAACATGATTTTAGTTAGAGAAATATCCAAACAAGACACGCACTAGTTATATGGTCCACATAATATATCTTCATACACATTTAAAAAAACCCACTCAAAGTAAATTAATGTTTTCGTAAAATAAAAACTGCATTTGAAATTGCTATATGTTTACTTCAAATCTAAAACTGATTTTGTACAATAGCAGATAGTGTAAGCATACATTATATATATATATTTAAGTCGAGGCATTGTCCAATTATACACAAACCAAACTTAAAACAAATGACAGATTTGCTGCTTCAATCAAACGACAACTTCTATTGAGTTATCGTCAATATCAATAGACACTGAACTTATTTGTATCGTGCGTTTCAGAAAAGAACTAATTTAACTAACTGATGGCGAAATAAATATATCAAATTTGCATAACACTGAATCACGTGACCTACCTCTTCTATGGCTGTCTCAGATTGCGCCTCTGCTTCCGCCTCTTGATAGAGCTTGTTGTACGCCTCACGAACACTGTTCTTGTATTCCTCAGCCTCTTCATGAGTCATCTACATCAGAAGAACGCTTATATTAGTCATATACTCATATGATTTAAGATACTCGATGTGTATTCACCATAACCCTGCCTAAAAAATCTGGAAAATGGTGAAATGAAGAACGTTTTGACACATCACTAGTACTCAAGATAACAAAACAAAATAATCAACGTATGAAGAGCCGAAGTTGGAAGTCGACTATAAAGCCGATGTGAATGTCAAAAAATTACTTTGTTCTACAACAGATGATAGATTGTGAAACTATTATTTCGTATAAATGGCAAAATAATATGTCATATATATTAAAAGGTAGCTTAAAGAACCAAATCAGTGATTTAAATGTTTTCATCCTGTTACGTGTAAGTTATGTCTTAATGCCAAAATGAGATGATTTGATTGTCATATTAAAATTGAATCCAAACCAAAATGCATTACCTACAATGGAACATATTGTGTTCAGACATACGTCTAGAACTGGTAAATATTTGTGTTGTAAAAATATGGTTCAAATCTTAACACATTATCAACAATGTCTGCAGAAATTTAACCTTAACATATCAAGTTGATTTAGCAAAATCATGAATGACTTAGTACAAATCCGCCCACCGGAAATAGACAGGAAAAATCAATATAGCTAAACATGTCTGACGTCATCACGTCTTAAGAAGTCATCATTATAATAATAATGGACAGCAAATCTATTCCTCAAACGCCAGCTCCGGAAACGTCGGTCCGAATTTAGACTACCGCCTTGCTATCTTTGTGCCCGTGCCGTAGGGATAACTCTATTTGAGGATACACACAAAACGCTAGAAATCCTAGAATAACCATAACTGCCGCGGTCTCTTTAGAACACATGAAGACCTAGAATTACTGGCTGGTGCCCTGGCTTCTCATTTATCAATACAGTCAGGGATGGGCACCTGATGTCTATTGTACAAAGCACTGTTAGGTCCAGGATAGTATTAAGTATATAGCTTGTAGCATATGTTATTCATTGTTACAATATATAATAACAAATAACGATTCATTATATCAAAATATTTCGTTTCAATTTCAAGACACATGAAGTTTTTAGAAGAAAAAAAGACAGTTGGAAAAAAATGTATATTTTATATTGCCATGGTTGTTTCAAACAATGTGTGGTTAAATATGTTTTATCGTGTTTGGTTCAAAAGATGCCTGTGCGAGCCCTTCTTGTGCTACGACACAACGCGTGAACACGTACAGTTTGGGACTATGTGTGAATGTTATTAGAGGCAGTTCTGCTGTTTATGAAATTAAAACCCGTACAAGTGTAGAAACAGAAGGACGTTTTTGGTATTTATGATACATTTCCTGTAGTTTATTTATCTCTCTGTTTTTTTCCTGTCCATTCGTATCGACTTTCAGTCCTAAGTTTGTCCATATATAATGACGCTTTACTCTAATTTTTTCTGTCTGGCTTTACGAAGAGTTCGAGAAGCATTGTCATGGTAACAAACAATCCATATTGCTTTCCGTTCTGTTGTATGAACTACAGACACGTTTGACAAGGAGGGAGTCGTAATGTAATTGATATTTTGTGAAAATAAGAAGACGTAATACTATCGTTTAATTTCTACAGCAGTTTGTCACATTTGACAAAATCTTAGGTATATTTAACCAAAACCCTTTTATTGGTTTACATTACGATTGCACAAAGTATAGCGTAAATTTGTTATTGTCAGTATATTGACTGTAATGTTTTACAATGAATAAGGACAAAACATGCTAGCGCTAATGTGTTTCTCCTAAGTCAATACTTTAAAAGTAACAGCATTGCAATGTTTCTTTGAAATTTAAGTACTTGTTGCGTTAAAACAATAACAAATGAGATTTCTTTTGTAAAGATGTAATCCACTTGTAACCGGACTCGGTCAAATTACCATCAGTAAAAGGACAATTGTTACAGAATGAAATAATAATAACAATATATTTGATTGGTTGTCAAAGCGACGGGGCCATATTGACAGAAGTGATCGCGAGCGGACACTGATGAGTGATAATTGCGATCCAAAACGGGACAACTTTGTCACGGGCGACCACGAACAACAGCTAAATTAAACATTATCGTACAGTCAATCCAGCAAAAGCTCCCACCTAATCCAATATTGAGAGAAATGCAAGCTGCAACTGAGATTGCAGTTATCACATCTTGTCAAAAACTATTTTTTCGTAAAGATAATTGGCTACATGATAAACACATATCGCTTTGATATTTATAACGTATGGTGTTTAAACAAACCCTTCATCGTCATCGAAGAGTTTCAATTAAGGAAAGTTATCCATCAATCAAATTTAATATGCTTGTTCCGCCGATATTATCGTGTAAATGTAGAAAAGGTATTGATCCGAAACACTCCTAGCCTGACTCTAACGTGAATTCATCAATGGGTGAACTGCCATTGACTCGAGCCGCACATACGTGTTTACAAAAACAAAGACATATCACATTACTCTATGTTTCCTTCGGTTCATGTTAAACATTCATTTTGTTGTTGACGTTGTATGGCAAATCCTATTTATGTCAAACTTGTTTCCATTTGTAAAATCAATAGGATTTGTGAATGACAAAACTTAAGGACCAGCGTAGGCGGGAGAATAACAAAGTGCCCATTGAGTTAAGTTGTTTCTGTTTTGTTTACATTTCACTGACAATATTGAACTTGTGCCAATCATGTTAAACTTTTTTTCATTATATTACCAATATATATTCTATTCAAAACTGGTTTTTGTTGAAGGGAAACTTAATCGCAAAACGCTGCTTTTATTTCTTATGATATTCTGCGACATTGGTGTTGCAGGCGTGTATTCGTTTTCCTTATTTGCATTGACAACGCGAAATTAAAGTTCATGGTTCGTGGTGTTTTTTTCCCCAACGAATATTAAATCAAATGACACCTTTTATATCAGATGATAATAGGGATGCAAGCATTAACACGTTCCTTTTGTATGTTCTCAATGAAAATAAATAGGTTGATGTAAAATACTTTAACAGTTAAAAGTCAAACGCTATTATGAGGTCTCCTAGTGTTGACTAAGTTAAGATTTTGTTTGTGTTGATTTAATTTATTTATAAAAACGGTGAGTCAGCTCTGATACAAAAAAAAACATTATCAACAATACATCGAGTCTGAGTTTTCTTGTTATTGGCACATACAGTTTTTAACACATCTCACACTGTTCTAATCCCTATATCTATATCGATAGGACATTTTGATTTTCTTTTAACTTGATCAAATACTTTCTACGAGATCGAAAACATTTATCAAAGTTCCCACCGCCGTTAGTGAACCCTCACATACCAGCACAAATGGACGTTATAGACACGGGACGTCCGACTGTGGTTAGTCATATTTCAGTTAAAAATCATATGATCTTCCGTATTCCTTAATTGGTATCCAGGATCGTTGACAATTATCTTTTTGTAAAGACATTAATTGCTGATTTTCTGTTTTTAAAACTAGTCCTTAGTGTGTAATTATTTTATTTTCAATAGCCAATTTTGACACGTTTGACGTGTTATTAACGCGCTTAGCAAACAACTCGTTATCCATAGTTATCGACATTTGGGCCTTACTGGCAAAATACTTCAATTTGTTAGACCACTCCTGAAATCATTCGAATGTGTTACGCCTCATTAAAAATAATTAGGTTTCTTTTTTTGTTTTTGAACCCAAGTACATTTAGCATCAAACATCTAAAATAGAATTCAAGTAGAACATAATGGTTAGTTTATTTTTTAACGAGAATCTGTTCTAAAAGATTTCTGATAGCTTGTAACTGGTTGCTGGTGTTATAGAAAAAGGCACCGTTCTTACAACTAGAGAAAGCAATCGATAGTTCTATATCGGTTTTCATAGATGCAACAAATAGATTGTAACTGTATCCCTGTTCAATGAATATAATCGCTTCCGACGTAAGCTTGAGATTCCTGGTTAACCATTCGACTGATTTATTTGCGATACAAACGACTGATTTTGGACAAAAATAGAAACAAAACAACCCATAGCGGCAACACACAATGCCTAAATGCTTAAAGTTCAAAAGAAAATCCTACATTAAGAATTTAGGATGCAACCAAATTCAATTCCAACAAATTAGGAGCCTAAACATAGTCCTACCAAAGTGTTATTACATTGAGACCGTTGAAAAACGCATGAAGATAAGACCGGGTGTTCTGGAAGGAAAAGCATGTTATGCTTTATGAAGGACACTCGTTTTAGGTCATTAAAATTAAATGGAAGACATTATGGCCACCACCCCTAAATTATTCCGCGCCAAAAGGGCAACAACGGTGCTGTTTAGAATGCATGGCGCATACAATTCTATGTGCTATATTCAATTAGCAGGAATTATTTTAGCAACATTTGTTTTCTTTTAAGACACACAAACAAATTGAAAGCAAAGACCACTTACCCCTGACGAGTTCTCTAGTTCCTTTAAACCCTGGTCAAATTCTTCAAATTCACCCGTTTCCAAAAGGAACTCGGCTACGGCCTCTGGTGTGAAGCTGATGATGTCACTAGTCTTTGATGATATTTGCTGAAATAAAGGTAAAATAACTGGATTGAGTATTAATTAATAAACATCTCCCTGAAGAATTTAGGATTTGCTATCGTGCCCTCTATTTGTTACAAAGCAGTACATCAGCTTCACCCACTGCAGCTTTCTGTCCCAAACAAAAGTTCTTAATGGCCATAGATGTTATTCCCTACTTACGTTCAGTTTTGATGGAATTAGCAACAACTGGGTACCGCTTGCAAGTATATTGTAACAAAGTGGAATACTGTTCTGGGCATCTTCAACAAGGTGTTTCAGTGAGGTACCACTCGAAAGTTAGCATCAGACCAGCGCTTTCATAAAAAGGCAAATACCCCAACATACCGCCTCTAGCGCACTCTACATACATTTAGCGCTCAAGTGAGGAACATTATAAGTTGTTAATAGGACGTTAATCCCAATAAAATCATCTTTAAAAATACATTTATTCAGTAAAGGCCACACTTCCATAAGACAATAAGAGTATTTCACACGAAATCCCATGCTGATGTAACTCATTTTTGTAAACTAAGAATAAGAATACCGAAAAGCAGAAATCAGATCGTTATTGCGCAAGTGCATGTTAAAATACAGACGAAATATCATTTTCTGACATTGTCTCCAGAGAAATTTTAGAACCGTGGCTTGCAATATTGGAAGTAATTGAGCGTCTAGGAAAAGCATCTAACACAAAACAGAAACAGATTTTCTCACTCCCAACGGACTACGTTTTCGTGACCGTTGTCCTATATTAGATTACAACCGCTTGACCATTTTGTGATTTATGCAAATTTCGGAATGACAAAAAAGTACGGAGCACTCCTTTGCGGAAAATTTATTTCCTAATCGTATTGATTATTGCTGAACGAAACGGGCGTCTGGTGATCCCACGTGGGAGGAAGCGCGCGCTTGTGACGTCACAAGTATGCCATTTCAGGAAAAGATATTGTTGAAATATTCCTTTTGGCTTTTTACTTTGAATTGAGTTCTTGAAGCATTTGACATTGTCACGGAATGTGAAGCTATTTTAAGATATCAGCTAGACAGATTAGAATCTGCAAATGCAAATATGTTTTATTGCTGCACCAAAATAGACATGTTAATTGAGACGATGGCACGTATGTCTCCCTGTCGTGACGTTAATGCAGTAATGCCCGGGTGTTTGACGCTTTTCTTCCAATGTGTTATTTACCCAAATATTCAAATGCAATTTTTAAAAAAGTCGGTCAGCCGCCTATTACAGTCTACTACTGATTCGAACGATAGCTACTGAAACAACAATAATGATATAAGAGTAGGAAAGTGAGGAAAAGAAAGTTAAAGATCTCAAATATTGAAACGAGGTCAGCATACCAAGTTTGGTTTCTTCGATGTATCCTAAGCAGAGGACACAGAAATTGGCCCTCGATTCTACACATTAGTCGCCCATTACAACATGGTATGGGATACAGCAAATTTCTTCTTTCCCTGAATCTGCACTTGAAATCTTAATCTCAGTTTATAACAAACTAAACGTGATTGAAAAACTAGAACGCAAGTCTAATTAGGCTAATGGCATGTTTTCATAATTAATCATACTGAAAACAAACTATTTGTGTTCTAAGATTTCAGGATATCGCTCTCAGATAGTTGTCACAAGTTTATTCATATTTCAACTTGTGTTTTTCATAAAACTCAATTAAATATGTGAAATTTTACATTTAAGCTACTCATGTTTGGCAGAACTTGATATCTGACCATAAACTTATCAGACAGTGTGCAACCTGGACATTCAATGCTGGTGTATATTTTACACACATTGTTGGTTCAAATTATCTACGCAGTTAGTTCGAAATATTGAAATAGTGATGCTTCATGAAAAATGAACCCGACGGACTATATTTCAACGTTAAGATCGCAACGTGTTATTATACAAGTAGTGTGTTGCTTTTAAAATTATGGATTGTTTCATGATTATATTCCAGACAATCAGACACCAGGGAAGGTTTTATGTATCACTACATAAAATAAGCGTTTAAATACATTTGTGTACAAGAATAGGATATCGTGCAAAGAAAGTTGGTATCAATGTTTGCTGAGATTCAAATATCAGAAAACACTAATAAAATAAAGAAAGTTTATTTTTTTGCAAAAGCTAGTCATATCAATTTTTGAAATGTTCAAAAATAGGTTTATGATCGCTAGTACAAAAAGTTGCAGTAAGACTAGGACGAATTTAAAAACACTTACATGGGAATATTGTAACACTGATCACTTATCAAATGTTTGTCTTGATGTATAACTATCTTTAAGCACTATGAAGTAACACACTCACAACTATTAAAAGTGGGTCTATTAGCTCTGAACACTGTTTCCTAGGACCTTATCCGGTGATAGTATAATGTAATCGGGCGTAAAACTGTTTTAAGTACCTTCGGCATGGTAGCACTCTAAAGTCGGCATCATACCTACGCTCTCACAAGGAGGCAAGTACACCAACATACAGCCTCCAGCACATATACACACTGGCACGCATACACTACAGACATTGATGTAGGGCCTTAAATTATCTTATCTTTGAATAGGACGTTTAACAAAATAGAACTAAAACAAACCCAAGGACATACAATCTTTTAAATGTAATGTCGCTTGAAAATATAGTCTTGGTACGGTAGCATGACGCTCTAATCAGTTCTCAGACATCGGGCTAACACGATACCTAGAGAACCACTACATAAGCGGAATAGCATATACGAGATATAAGATAAACGAGGGACCGAATTGTTACAGAATGAGATGCCGTTACATTTTAGATTTCTTCAGTGTTCCCAGAAGAAAGAGAAATAACATTCTAGGTCTGCCAGGGTCACACGATTGTTGCTGCTAGATCCAATAATACGATACTATGAGACCAAACCTCCCCTAAACCTGTAGTCCTATATATATACTTGAAACCTGAGGAAGAGACGAAACGACTGCATTTCTCTACCTCTATATTTTAAGTTATGGCCAATGTATTACTGCACCAAATCGTCCTAGACATGACAAATATATAAAAATAAACCTGCTGTGTTCAACCAAGAGACTCAAACTCGTGTATACTTGATAAATATGTCTATACCGCTTACAAACACTATTGAACTAAAGGCTGACAAGGCAAGTTTGAATAACCAATCGTAAAACGTCACCTGACAACAGGCTACCACTGGTGTGTCGCCCACGCGCCTCGTTGCGTGCGTAATTGGATAGACCTGACATTTCAACGACAGGAAGAATGACTAAAAGATGATCTCGAAATATGTATCGCCTTTTAATAATACTATTCTACCACTACCGGTTAACAATTAGATCGATATCACACTAGCTACGTCATCTGTACATGTCATGTGTCCCTCGCCGCCCGTGCCTCTGTTGTATACCTAATAAAGTGTATTATCCCGGTCTCTCATCCCGAACGAGAATAAGACCAAACGAGTTCCAGTCGTTATACATGTTGTTGAACTTAGTATGCTTACTGTTATCGTAATTTCGAAACGCCGAGTTATTCCTTCAATTCTAATTGATTGTATGGCTTAAGCTAAGAAGGTAGACCTGTACGATATAATTAGTTAAGTGTTAAGAGTTAATAATCACCACCAAATTGTTTCTTCTAAACTAGCAATTTCAAGATATTGAGGTTCGACATGATATACGAAACTCATTTAAAGCTTGCTGTATGACAATCGAAGAACTTTTCTCATTAACAGATTTATATTTCAATTCCATGGAACAGAAATACATAACGCCTCGTTCCTTTAGATTTCAGCAATTTAAATCATATCGACATCTGGTGTCCACAACTAAATAACGGTTTTAATTCTAAGGTCTCCAGCATTTATCATTATTCCAGTACTATACTACTGTTCTATGTGCAAGGGAAAGACTGTATGTCACAAACAGTTTTGGTACCAATTGTGACGAAAAAGGAATCAATGTGAGCCTATTCCATTTCAACATATGGCGATCTGAATATTTCTAAATTTTTCAGGTTGGTAAATATTGAGTTCAGAAAAGTTCACATAGCACAACCAGCAAAATATTATCTGTGACGTTTCAATGACTAATACTTTTTTATTTATTTTTTTCATTTTTATTTTTTAAAAGTTGTTATATATATTTTCACCTAAACATCTAACCAAATAGATCTAATAATGTCTAACAACAAAATATGATTCACTTGTTATTATATTTAAGGCTTATAAATCTTCCATTATATGCCCATGAACGTATCGTATCTTTGCCTCTTTGCCTGATACAATTATAGGCCTGCTGGTTTAGGAACCTATACAAACCACCCTCAGGCATCCAAACACAAAACCCATTACACGTACGGTTTAAGCTATTTTGGTTTTGTGTTATTACGTTATGTAGATTTCGTTGCCTCTTGGCAATTAAAACAGCCACGTGACGACAGTAACTTCGCGAATCTGTTGTGTTATTATGGTAATTAACCTGTATAATCTTATCGCAAGACTATCAAACACACTACGGCACAAACAGCTTCCTGTAGTCTGCCAAATTACTACCCAGCCGCGGATTATCGATTATTTGACACTTTTTACTGGGATTATTTTCTCTTCGCGTAGGCGTCAAGTGGGTGATTAGAACGCTCGTAGAGCTGGCCATGTATTTTCGCATGAATGGTAAATTGATGAAAAGCGTGTCTCCCGAGACAGAACGGTGTTCAAAGAAGAGACAGTAAAGAGAGCGAGTGAGGGGGAGGCAGTGCTTTGTGTGCAAAATTAACAGATTGACGTGGTTTTCCCTCGACACAATCAGGAATATGCCGATCACATGCAAACACATGTACTATCTTCTCTATGGTCTCATATACACTAGTTAGGTAACAGTACATAAACTCGTGTACTATCTTCTCTATGAACCAATAACATATACACTTGTTAGGTAACAGTACATAAACACATGTACTATTTTCTCTATGGACTCAGTTACACTAGTCAGGTAACAGTACATAAACACATGTACTATCTTATCTATGGACTTATATACACTAGTTAGGAAACAGTACATAAACACATGTACTATCTTCTCTATGGACTTATATACACTAGTTAGGTAACAGTACATACACACATGTACTATCATCTCTATGGACTCGTATACACTAGTTAGGTAACAGTACATAAACACATGTACTATCTTCTCTATGGACTCAGTTACACTAGTTAGGTAACAGTACATAAACACATGTACTATCTTCTCTATGGACTTATATATACTAGTTAGGTAACAGTACATAAACACATGTACTATCTTCTCAATGGACTTATATACACTAGTTAGGTAACAGTACATAAACACATGTACTATCATCTCTATGGACTTATATACACTAGTTAGGTAACAGTACATAAACAAGTTTAGGTTGTCAAATTTTCGGAGTGATCCGCTCCTTTTTCAAGACACAGTGAAACAGAACAGTTACATGTACATAAACATCATATTACAAGAAGATAGAATTGATATACTATAATTGAAAATATAGCTATTATATATATATATATATAATATACTCTGATAATAACTCATAATTTATGTTAAAACTACTATATTTCTCATTAACTATGCTGGAATACATTCCAGCTACATGATTAACGGCAACCTCTGGGTTGGTAGTTTATCAACAAGGTCAACCCCCTCGTTACGTAAAATAGCTACCGAAAAAGTAACGACAAACCTTATAAATGTTCCTAATTCACGTGCATTGGTAAAACAATTGAAAAATGCATTTTATAACGAATACATAACCCTTTCTTACGGTTAACTCTACATCTATGATTAAATGAATCAGCATTCCTCTTCTCAATCTGTTTTCCAACCTTCTCATTAAAAGCTTATGCTACTTTATTCCACCTTTGAGGATAAACCGTAAAAGATTTATTCTATGAAATCTGTGGTAAGTTTAGGTCGTTGATCCGTGAATTACGTCTTAGACATTTCAATAGAAGCAGGCAGAGAACGTACATAGATCAGAGCTGTGCATTGTTTATAACAACGGTACCTTGACCGAGCCCTTTAACATTTCAATATTGTTTTATATATTCGGACTCACGTTATACGTTATATCTTTTGATGAATTATTCCTGCCATTTATTGACAAAAATAAAGTTGTGAGATTAAAAAGTGTCTGTTTTTCACCATTTTATTTATTTCTTTAATCATTTTATTTATCATGTATGCTGCTATTTCATATATAATTTTAATGAAACTATATTTTTTTTTTTAAAGTCGACCAAGGATACCCGATGATATTTTTCTATTATCAATCAAACTTTTAATCCAAGACATTGACTGATTCACAACTGATTTTTTTTTTCAATCTAAAAATATTTTAATTCATGATTAATGCTTGATTAAAAGCTGACGTTTTAAAATTTCTTTTTTTCTGCTTTTTAGTTCACAAAGACGTCATTTGGCCATAAACAATATTTTGCCACAATGAACAAGTGCACATTTTGGCCTTTTATCTATATTCATAAAGATTAATGTAAACGTACGACGCGATTTCGATTGTGATTATGTTAGCACCGACCGTTCCCATCAAAATATTACCTACCTCGCTTTCGTCTGTGACGTCATTGATTTCTGTGTCGTCGCCATTGGAAACTAAGCTTTTATGTAATCCAGCCGCTGGCATGTCTATCTTGTCAACTGTTACTTCGTGTGGTTCTCCATTTTTGTTATCACCTTTCGTTTCTTTTTGTAAATCTAAGACCAATTCCTGCTTCACAGGGTCTAAAACTAAAATAAAGCAATAAGTTTGTAAACATAATTCTTAAATGCCGTGTTTTTTCTGGATACGTCAAAGGTAAATGATAAAAATATCGTTACTGTTTCATTGAGATTTTCTCTACTTTTACAAACGGCACATTAAAATGAATCGTACTGTCATATTAGTTCCCCTTTTCACTGCAACAGTCTACCGTAAGTATGAAGGCTTTCCAGTATTACATTCACATTAAAATAATTACCAGTGATTATCACTACACGCTATATTCATTATGTTGCAAGCATGCAGGAAATTGTATTTATAAGGAATGCGTCTCTCAGTAAAAGAGCGCTCTTTTCATTAGTATTTATCAATCTGCACCCACGGGTGAGAAATTGTATTATTGTGGACACTGACTTAGAATATAACGTCATGAAACTATAGCCTCGCTAATGTTTCAAAAGCCGTGAATCAAAGAAATTGAAACAATGGTTTTATCTCAGAGTGTAAATTTGTAAGATAATCAAGTGTCCCTATGGAATGATTTATATCTGGGTGTTTTTTTGTAAATATAATTAAATATCTTTAAAATCATGTTATATAATTATCAATTCAAACAATTTAATCAGTCAAATTGACATATTGAAAACGACATTTGTCTTGCTTATTAGTAAACCGGTCCATCATCATGGTAATTATAAATATATAATTTCATTGTGTGGCCGTATATGGAGATGTGTTCCATATGCTGACTTACTTTTTTCTTCTGATGTTGAATCGCTGTTTACTTTTCCATTTACGTTTGTATAGTAGTATGTTTTCTCTTTCTGGACTGCGACGTTTTTATGGCTCTTGGCTGAAACGTAGGAGCATATGGTTTGTTTATAACATTTGTGGTAAAGAAAATTTACCTATAACTTTCACAACATATATCTGAGCCTATTATAAATATCGCATTCGTTCGTTTGTTCTATCGATGATTTCTTATTATAAAATTTGGTTTGAGCTACTGTATACCGCTGCACTTTATGTTTCGCATTTTTCGCCCTCAGCAAAAATTCGTAAACAACATAATATACATAATAATAAAATGTTTTCATTGGGCGAAAAATGATTTTACCATAGGAGGGCGATACAGTTACATATTAACAACATCAATTGATGATATATATAATTGAAACTGAGAAGAAGGCGTACAAATCATAAGCATCGCTATAAGTTATCGCTATTAACGTCGTCCATCATAGTTAAACGGAGGATATTAGATGGCAAAGTTAATCATGCTTGTGTGTCATTGTAAATCAATATCCAAAAATTTACATAAGTGTCACGACACTTGTTTTTGTTTCCTTTTCTGTTTTATAAAACATGTATTTCGATGTATTGTCAAACAAAAAATGAATAAAACAAAGTTTAAACCAAATCTCATTAATGTTAATAACGTCTAATGAAATGTACAGCAATATTAAGTTTGGGTGATAGTCTTCATAAAGCATTCACTATTTACTGTGAATGAATACTATATAACGGAAATTTTCACCCAGACAAATGTTCGCCCTTCGACTGTAGAATCCATTTTCACCCAATGTTAAATTCACCCTTCACATTCAATTATCATGTTGATTACAAAAACAAAATCGCTGTAAAGATAAATTCGCCCCATTACGGAGGGCGAAAAAGCGAAAAGATTAAACTGAACCCGAAATCTTCCTTGTATACCGTATTTACAAACAATAACATATATATGTATATGCAAATGTATGAAAGAAAATATCGTTTACGTTTAGTTAAACTATAAATTGAAAGAAAATATTTGTTATTGTCAATCAGTGGACGATATACATTCAATGCTGTTAACCCTTTAACAACTGTAGACCATAATGGACTCATCCAGATCAATGCAGGATAGAGTCTACTAAAGTTAAACAGAGCTGCAAGGGTTAAGACAAAGGACAGAAGGAGGGAACAAAAGGGACGCCCTGACACAGCAATGTCTAGATGTTTATAAAACTTGGGAAAGGAATCCTTGGTACTCAGGGTCACAAAATCTTTGAGACACAGAAGGAATATCACTGATCGAATCGATCTAAAAAAAACACTGAGACACAAAAATGGAATTCTTGAAGGACAGTAAGATGTTTTTGGTTTCGTTTTGGTTTTATTTAGGTATTGTCTTATCAACAGATACTGTGATTTACGGACGTGCCTACATGTATGTTATGTATGCGTACATGTTTGTATGTGCGCTGTTGCAGGCAGTGTATGTTGATGTATATGCCTCCCCGCAATAGCGCAGATATGATACCGACTTTAGAGTGCTATCTCCCTGAAATACCATGCCGCACAGTAAGAAATGCTTTGTTATAGGGGGTTTGAAGACATTGCGACACAGCAAGGATGGTATTGTTCTACTAGGATCGATGACAAGGAGGCAAAACACGGGAATATATTGTCGCCTTTATATCAATAAAACTGGGTTAAAGACGGAAACCCGTGATATGTAAGGTCTAGAAGACAATTGGGCACAATATGAAAAGGTTTGGCTTCCGTGTCTTTATATGAAATTTAAACAAGGCAAGTGAAACATTTATCTATTGGCTCTAGTTACAAAGTTGTGGGTGTAATGGTCGCGATTTATTGGTATTACCGTTATCACATCTTCATACAATGTCATTCTGATACGGCCGACACTGTAAATAGGTGATAAATAACAATTCACATCACCACTCACCTGCGAGTTCGGCTAATTCTTCTAACGCAAGTTCTTGGTCATTCACCTACAAATACATATTAATCACCTATTTGTATGTTATGTAATATAAAATAAACATCACGTGGAGCATTATCGTATTAAATCTATAACATCTTGGATGATAATGTACGTCATTATTTAAAACGGAATATGTAAGATAATATTTATCAATTTTGGAATTTTATTGAGATAACCATGTGGTTATATGGACCTGAGTGATATTAATATTACTTGATCATGTCCATATAACCTCATTTTCAACGAAATGAAAATCCTTAATTGTTATATTAGATGCTGAAATAATATTTTAATCATCAAACTAGATGGACGTATGAAAAGTATATGGGGAAAATACTGCATTTGGCAGAGAGCAGAGTGACGTTACCATGGAAATGACGCCATAAAGTCAATATTAACATGTTTTTTCCTCTAAAAATAGAAACACCGAGTTATTATCACAAACACAGACATCCATGTGAGTAAGAATAAACCAATGAGGATATATAACAAATATGTGTCATCCTATATTATAAATCAAAATTGAATTAAAATATTCTTAACTAAAATATTTCTTCTGTAATTATAACATGTTTGATTGACAGCATAAAATGCCACAACTAACACCACAGGGTTTCTAAAGATGCGGGAGTTGAAATAATGTAATGCCCATCGTTTCTTTCTTTACAAAGTCGTTTATACCTCAAACTGGTTTTACTATGAAGAAACATCCTTAACTTTAGACATGTCGTTTTTAACTGCGCAATCATACATAACAAAACAGTTGTATATCCGAAAATGGAGGCCAGAGAACGAGAAACATTTTAAGTGCAAACATGTCGGTGGGGAATAGAAAAACAGACAAAGACAAATATCCAAATTACTAATACATAGAACGGGTGTCTTTGGTTCAAAACATTGGTCTTTCATCTATATCTAATAGAGGGAATAACGCAAACCAATTTCCACAAAACAAATAATGAGAAACCCTGATGGGCAGGAAACTGAAGTGTCTAGTACCCGCATTGGCGGAACAATGATATTTAATACGTATGGGCTTGGCATCAATGCGGGCCAATGGATGTTCGTTGGTATTTCACAGAAAGCGAAATGAAAGATTTGTGTGTAATGTTTAACTATCTCACAACCTGTCATTTCGAATTCCAAAAAACATGATTCTTTCCCGCTTCTTTGTTGAAAACGAAAACAGTTTTGCAGTTTTTAAGGTATTTTTGTATATTTGCCAGAAATACTCTTTCAATTTCTTTTGTGATGTACGTGTTTTCATGCGAGCATATATCTATTCAGACACATGAAGCAAGACAGTCAAGATATTTCAAATGAAGAATATTCGTGAGGAGTTTCAAATATCTTTAATGAAATGGAAACAAATTCGAAACTCTCTTTAACACCTGATATTCGATATTTGCCAATATTACAAGAAATGTGATTTTCTTGGTCATCTTTTAAGTCTAAATATACATATATATCATAAGGAACCCTCATTACTTTTTCTTCAAAAAAGACAAATGGATGTAAAATTAGTGATAAATGATTCATACTGTATAAAATAACAGTGACAATACAACAGCAAAATGAATATAATGAAATGAGTATTCTGTCTCTATAACAGTCGGTTGAATAACATAAAATCATTACTTACCCGTGTTGCTGGTACTTCAGACTTCTTGTCCACTGTAAAATATAAAACAAATCATTTTATCATAATGAGTCGGTAACTTACAATCATAATCCAATAGTTATATGGTCTAACGTTTGTATTGTCCATGTCATGTACATAGTGTCTCTGTGTCTCAGGGCCATATTGCAAATTATATTTATATTTAAATATGTTACCATGAATAAATAAATATGTTCTTTTTATATCTTTATGACATCCTTGACTGCCTGTCATAACAGAAATAAGTGTGAGGGCAAAAGTAACAGAAGAGAACAGTTGTGCACAGCCTCCTTTTTACGCCTCTTCCTGTGGCATATAAACCACCTATATAAATGATTATTATTAGTCATTGTGACGTCATAAAGTTGTACGTCATTTTTGTACTTCCGAATAAACAAGATGGACGTTACTTGAAACAACTGTTGTGTTTCGCCCTTGAAGAAGGTCAGGAGGCCAAAATACTGGGACTTAGAGTGACATTTGTTCTATATTTTTATCTTTTGTTTCCCTTTGGAAATCGTCTGTTGTTATTACACGGTTATTTATTGAAATAAAACAATTATTGGTTTTAATTTTGTAAATTATACTTTGATTCCATTGATGTTGCTGTTGAGGCATCACAACCTGCGTTAGTATTACTTTAGGTTATCTTAAATATATATATATATTGAATATCAACAACTAATACAGATACTCATCTGGTGATGCAGACAAACGTTTTATAAACTTGGATTCAATACAACACTTTGCAGTTGTTGATGTTGTATTATTGAAACAACAATCCCCTGCTTTACGAGATAAGGGCAGACGGGTGCTCTGTTCAAGAACATTAATTTATAGATCTAAAGGCCAAAACGATTCTTGACTTCTAAATCAAACTTCCTTATGGCAAACTGCATGTGAAATCACTGACTCGCCGTGCAAAACCACTTTTGGGTCTAAACAGCTTTATAATCAAAGAAACGCTTAGCCTAATGTGTCCCTTACGTCATTATGGTATCTATTTTTGCAATGTTTTTTTGCCATAATGGCATAGAAAGTGTTCCATTTTTAGAACTGGGATGAGCCTCCCTTTTGATTTTTGTTTCAGGGAACTATTTTGTGTCTGAAAGCACCGCAGCTTTATTCTATTTGAGTTTGTCCCAGGACGCCTATAGCTACTCGCCATTCAGTAGAATTACCGGTTTATTCAAACAAGCAATACACGTGGGTATATTTGGGAGAGCTACTGCTTTGAAAACTTTGAGTGTTATGGCTCCCATGGTGTATGTTGATCGAACTCTGATCGCAACACCGACTGTAAATTTACAATTACTGTTCCGCGAAGTAATGGATCAACCGGAAGTCTCATGTCACCTGTAAGTATTTAATATTCAATTGCCCCCACACAAATACAACAAGAAAATTCCAACTCAAAATCGATAAATTAAGGGAGAATATGACGAAGGAGAGATTTACATGAAGACCCTTGAAAAAGTACAAAGACAACAAAACCAGGTGTTCCGGAAGCGGGAGCGTCTTCTGCTTCTTACGCAATACCCGCCATGTAAATTCAGGTAATATCAAAGTAATGTCACATCGAACAGGGAGTGAGAACAGTGGACCGAATTGTAAGTAAATGGGATTATACAGCAAGAGTATCAAACCTATCATGAGAACTGTAATACGGTCATATTTTCTCCAAATCAGAGAATGACGTTTTTCTGCTGCTGAAAAGTTTCATAAATATCGGCTATTATTTTCCCATGAAATTGGAGACCTTATTTCGGACTTGATATATTGTTAACTTAATTTGATAATAGCGTTAGTAAAGAAACCCTTTCTTAGTCCTAAACTGGTCTGGAAACTAAAACAAATGTTTGAGTTTTCCAGATTTCCTTTAAAGATATAAATGAGAATTGAGAAAGTTAAGACATCTTATTCGAATTAAGAATTAAAGGAGTATTGGTGTATTTTTGATAGGTTTCTTTTAAGGGTATTGATCTAGCCCGTAGGCTGTTCCTTTGACATGCCGACTCATTTAATTTGATGGTATCTTAGTACTTGGCGGTATAAGTAATTAATCCAAGGAGCGGTGACACCGTCGTCGGTAATACGGAACGCTAAACAAGGTCATTACATGAAATAACGAAAGGTTACAGTTTCTTGTCTCAAGCTCGACAAATATACAATTAGTCCCTGCGTGCTACTGCGTTTAGGGTTGGTAGACAGCTAGTGAGAGTCATATATACAGCATCTTCCCGTTCAGATATCTTAAATGTAGCAAAACGATATATGTCATCCAACATAAGCTTTACTGATGGGATTCATTTTTATATATACTACCTTTTTTATTAATCACGAAAAAAGCTATTTGCATTATAATAAGGAACAACAACGTACTTATATTATATCTATTTCTCTCATTTCCCTGTGTGTAAGATAGAGCTGTCCAAGGTAAGAAAAGGGGGTAGGAAATTTCTATCTTACACCCAATTTCACGTGACGTGACGTCACAATGGCTCAACAATGACGTGTTATCACGCATTTGGAACTCTCCGATGCCGCAATGCGGAAAAGGCGACGTGAGGAAATTAAAACCTTTTACGATATATTTACCGTACATGTTAGAAAGATGTGATTAATTGTTCTATGCATACATTGTTTAAAAATATGGAATATGCTAAATATTGCTGGCTGATTTGTTTTCGTCTAAAAAGCTCAGGGGAAAAGTTAATGTTCGCAAACTGGTGGCCAGTCCAAACGCATTTTCATGGTTTCTGAGCTTATTCTGGTGGTCGGAATGAGGCAAACCCCTCGGGCGGAATTTCCCTATCCAACATCCCTTGGCATGAAGGGTCTTATACTATTTGCCACGCCTAAACGTTGCGAAATTTTAACTTCCCTTTTTAGGTGAAATGGCGGTATTGCGACGAGATTATTAGGTCACCCACCATTTAGAGGCTAGACTATCTGGTACCGTACATCGCGAGTGACAACATGGAAGGGGACAGGTCAAAACGTTGTTTCCTTTCATTGTATTCGTGTAACTTTTGTTATATACAATGTGTCTAAATTGTACAGTACTGGAAATATGTACATGTGTGTGTGGTTGACTAAATACATCAAACAGAGCAAAAAAGATCAACAATGCCAGACACATATTGGTATTTGAGGAATTGTAAATGCTAGGGACAATGGTGAGAGAGTTCAATACCTTATACAATAACAAAGACTTTTGATGATTATTAGTGAACACATAGTTTATTAATGATGTATACGTTTTCGCGGCCACATGATGACCACAGTAACACAATCACGTGGTGAGGCTGACTGTTCCACCATTGGCTGAGGGGATAAGACACTGTTTACCATGAAGCCATTTCAATTAACTCGTGCTACTCCATACGAGGAACCTTTATTTAGAAACCAATTACCGAGTACCGGCGACGATACGTGAAGTTTATCTTTATTTGTATAAGCGGTCACACTAGGAAGGGTAATTTCCAACTACATAAGCGACAAGAATGAATGACGTTTCCTGCGTTATTGCCGATTGATAATTGAATCTTGTTTACGTCCGTGTCGTGTTTTTATTCGATGGAGATACATGACAGAAACTCGTGGTTAGTAGATACGCAGGCGGTTAATCCTTCTCCTGCTTGCCCCAGGTAAATTACAGGGTAAGAAAATCAATGCCTCAGATTGGATTGTCATCCGGCGTTCATGTAACTGTATAAAGTACAGAGGCAATCGTCTTTGCATTGGATTTAATATTTTCCAAGCGACTTGCAAAGAAAGGACCTTTTCATGTCGTTCACGTAACGGAAAGGATTTTGATCCTAGTATTTGCATCTTTTTTTAATTAAAATATCAGTGATCTAAATGTTATTTCGTGCCTTACTCATCAATCTTAATAAAACAATGGACGTGGTAACACGAACACTATAGGTCGATACAATGTATATTTATAGGATGATTTGACACCTGATTTTGTAATGCTATATAACATGAAATGTTCGTTGTGTATACATATTTGTGGTTGCTATTGAACCACGAAAATAAAAAGAACGAATTTGGATGATGCACGTGTGTACTGTTTGTTAATATAGGATATCAACGAAATGATCTAAATAGCTTCAAACAACGAAGAAAAGTGCCCACGAACATTCCATGTTATACAGAACCACAGCCAATGTACGTATCGACTTAAGTAAATCAAGAAACGTCCAATAAAGTTAATAAAATCTTTCATCAAAAGTTTGTAGAGTTTTGGTTAATGAACTTCTGAAAAATTAATAAGCCGAGTTATCAAAACATTTTTTAGGTAAACAATTCAAATCAATGTTAATAACAAACGATTTGTTTGTTTTGTTTTGTTTGGGTTTAAAGAACAACAGCTAGGCCAATATATAAGACCTATGGGTCTCGAGTTCAAACCCAAATTTCAAGTTCTAATCGCCAGTATTCCGTCTTTGCGTATTGCAGAGTTATCTTCTCTTGTGAGCAGGTATTGATTGTTACGTCATTTGTTTGTGGGAGAAACGTCATCAATTTTTGAGATAACGACGTAATTTTCTCACACAAACCAATGACGTAACAATTAATACCTGCTCACAAAGACGGAATAGCCACTCAAAACAACGTTCTAACCCCTTAAATATTTATGACAAAGTAATGAAATGTTCTTTATGAATGTTGAGCTATAACCATTCAAAGCTAACAAAACCTTTGGGTCTAGGGACCGAAGCACGCGCCGACCTCGCGTAGTGTTAACACGTTTCTGAAAGAAAACGAGCCTATTTACATTAAATATTGAAATAAACGTGAAATGTTGTTAATTCCTATTATGTAGCGCTGTAACGAAATGTACCAAGCGACGTACATTCTCTTTTGTCGTAAAAATTCTACGATAAACGCGACAGACAAAAAATATTCGTCCATTATCTCACTACATTACACTGAATTGAAAACAGCAGTACTATTATAAATCAATAGATGAATTTTCTTGAGCAGCGCACCCGTTTGCCCTTAT